CAGATTCTGAAGCAGGTATTGAGCCTTTCAGAGAAGACAGGAAATGGTGACATAGCAATTTATCTTCTGGAATTACTAGTTCCAATTTCAATATAAAAGGTATTCCAAAGAGAGAGCGGGGAAACATTTGGTAGGAGTAAAATCAGGAAGGTGAAAATGACTGGTTTTGATAGAGAAGAGTTTAGACATGATAAGATGTGTTCAGCATGAAAACCCTTCACATTGCCCTAGCACGTTACATCCGGGGCTTTTATAAACAAATAATCAGAACAGCATAAAAGAAGAAATTAGCAGATTTTTTGTCCTTGATTTAGTTTTGCCACTATCCTCTTTGGGTCTCGTCTCAATTTATCTTTCAAATGAACAGAACGAGCCAAAGGAAATTTTATCACATTGATTTGGGATGTAATGCTTCCATGCGCGTTTGTCAAATCTTTGTGATTGTTAAGCCAGGAGGAGTTAATTTCATCGCTTCCAACAAGTATTCTTTAAGCTGTGTAGGCAGAGGATCAACAAAATAGAGATGAAAGATAGAGACTGATTTTGTTTATCCCTGATCTCAAACATCAGAATGATTTAAATAAAAGACCCACTTTCCAAGGATCTACATGCATGTATTCTCTCCCTCTCTCTCTCTCTCTCTCTCTCACACACACACACACACACACACACCAGTGAAAGGGCATCCAGTGCTCAATCTTGGCAGGAATTGCTGACTGTCAACGTGGTTACAGGGCTGTAATCTACACTGCCTGGACACGAGGGTTCACAGCATGACCATCATCAGGTGGCACCCTGGCCTGAGATGACAGCAGCTAGACTTGCTCTCAGGCTACCCTAAGAAGGGTGTTGACAATAAACTGCAGTTTTTATTTATAACTATTATGCTTTTATGATTTTGAAATATCAGCCCAGGACAAATTCAGCTGATTCTACTCTGAGCAAACACTTTCTGCTGCAGAGTATCTTTCTTTCTTTTTAAATAATAAAAATAATATAGCCATGAAAACATATCTAATGTTTACAAGGAAGTGCTTACAAAATAACATGCTGGCCATCAACAGGGAAAAGCTTCAGGGAATAAATTAGACCTAACTAGTACTTGCTATTTTAAAAAATTCTATTCAAAGTATTGATTTTCCTGTCAAGACAACACACTCTGAATATACCTAATCATTTCTATCAGTTTCTTTCCTCAGTGCTGTGGTAATCCACAATGATGAATTTCCCCCACATAATACACTTCTATCAAATGAATATATTTTCCAAACTATGCAACCCTAAGCCAAGATTCTTCTCACATACCCATCATTTTTGCAGGCAAGAGAATTTGAGAGATAAAGTTTAAGATCACACTATAGTATATTTTTCCAATTATAGGATTTGGGGTAATAAACCGGGGCAATAAAGCACCATCAGAGATTCAGGATTTATTTCAGAATCAGGATGCAAATTGAGCATAACAAACAGAATAGTCAGTACATCAAGCCATGGCTGGTCACTGCAGTGTCTGTGTGTGTGTGCATGTGTGTGTGTGCAAGTCATGATTGCGTGCAGGTGAATGGACAAACACACACAAATACCAAGTGGATGACAAACAAGAGGAATGAAAACAAAGGGAAAGAAAAAGGGCTAATTAGGGGGCAGGAAGTGTGCTGCATCCTGTCTGACCCCATACCCATGAAGCCCTGGGTATATTCACATCTGCGTGAATTATTAATTAGATGAATGGACAGAGTGAGCATGAATGAAGAAAATGAGAATGCCAATTAAAAGCCTCAACTGAAACTAATCCACCCAGAGATTTCCCTTGGACTTAAATAAAACCAATATTCACAGGATGGCAAGAATGGCAGCTAAAAATAAAACTGCATTTCATCTGGGCCCTATTTCATCCCAGCCTGTGAGAATCACTAAAGAATATTGATGTAACTGAATTACTTCTGTCTCATAACACAAAGACATTAACATACTCAATAATCAACTGCATGGTACCTGTCCTACCGTGCAACTTAGACTAATAATTAGGAAAATTGTAAAGTCTGGTAACTCTCGAAGCATAATACATAGAATTCTATAGATTTATTAAGAATGAGGAAATAGCCCAGAGATTGATACCTCCCCAGATCATTATGATGTCCAGAAAAGCTTAGCTCTATAGGAATTTGGGCATCCAGAGGATAGTTCTCACAAAGTAATTTATTTCCAAAATAAAGTAAAAGAACTTTGTTTCATCACCTGGAGATTAACTACATAATGACTTAGGCTGTACCTGTTTTCAGATGACACTCGATGGCAGTGTGAACCTCATCAAGGTATTTAATTTCTCTGGAATGATTTCCTCTTCTGTTAAAATGCAGATAAGAGTGTCTTTCTCCCAGAGTTAGTGCAAAAATACAATGAAATTATTTTGTATGAAGAGCTCTGTAAGAGTCTGACAGTGAGATCTCTGTTAATGTGAGTTTCTTATTTCTTTGATTCCATACTCTAAATCTGAGAGCCACACTCTGGAGGACTGGCCACACTTGTCTCACTTCAATCAAAGAACAATAAGATCACAATTACAGACTGAGGTCTCCTAGTAGCTCAAACTGCGGCTGATGGCCAGACACTTCTCCATCTCTGCCTGTCCACACCCGCGGCACAGAGGCCACATAGAAAAGGATGAAGTCAGCCAGGCACAGTGGCACATGCCTGTAATCCCAGCAGCTCAGAAAGCTGAGGCAGGAGGATCCAGAGTTCAAAACCTGCCTCAGCAAAAGTGAAGCACAAAGCAACTCAGTGAGACCCTGTCTCAAAATAAAATACAAAATAAGGCTGGGGATGTGGCTCAGTGGTCAGTGCCCTGGGTTCAATCCCGGGAGAGAGGGGTGGGGGGCGGGAAGGGTGAAGTCTTCTTTCCGGAGCTTTCCTGATTAACCCCACCAGCCATGCAGCCACAACTGCCTAACTGCCAAACTTCCTCTGCATCCTCACAAGCTAGGAAATAAAGCAAAATTCAGGGAAAGGGAAACAGAGTGGAAGTGGGAAAAGGGGGAGAGGTGAAGTGGGAAATTAGATTCCAGCGAGCCCACCATGGGGACACCTGCTCAACCACAGCAGCTCTGAGCCTGGATAAGGCACGGGAGCAGTTAGCTTACGAAGAGACGCAAGTGTCAACTGAGTGCCATTCCTCGTTTTGTCCTCATGGTGACACAGACCAGCTCACAGGACCCTGAAGGTCACTGTAATGAATCTGTCAACACCACTTGAAAGTCAGAATCAAGGTTAGGAGTGTAGATTTAACAAGGAGAGTATATTCAGGTTTAAGGGGTGGGGGTGCCAAATCAGCAAATTACAAATGTAACTGTAAAATACAGCCTGATTTATTGTTCCCTTTGTTTTCTTAATTTAAACTGAAAAATCTACATTTGGCTTGCCAATGGTCTTCTATGCTCATGATGTCTGAGCACAAACTGGATGATAACTTCCTGTATGGTCCCCACTTTCAGTAAATGGTAAAACATCCACCCAGACAACAACACTAGAAATAGGACCCTAGCACCTGTCTGTCTAAATCATCACTAGCTCCCCGTCGCCTGTATTATAGAGCCTGGTTCTTCAGCACAGTAAAAAGTCGCCCCATTGTTCTTCCTCACTACCTTTACTTTGACCATCCCTTCCCTTCCTAGTTCATTCTGTTCATTTCAAACCCATTGTAATGCCAGGCACAGATCACACCCCTCCATTCCTCCAGCCTAGGATGCCCTTCTCATATTTCATTACTTGCAAACCCACCTTTCAAGGCAAAACCCCACATGTGTGTGACCCAACAGCATCCAACAATGCAGGAGCACTTGCCTGCATCACCACCTCTGTGAAGAGCCACCTCACCCTAATTAAAATGACAGCAGCCCCTCAATATGTGTTTGGCAGGTAGAAGCCACTCAACAGTTGCTAGCCATTTTATTACTGTTGTGTTGATATGATGATAATGAAGAATACTTATCTATATAATGGATGAGAGGGGTAAAAACAGAAAATAGTGTTCCAAAAATATTTAGCAAATGCTCTGGAGGAAGGAATCATTGAGGACAGAAATCCTTCTGCAGTGGCAAGTTTGAGCAGCGGGCTTTCTCGGCCTTTGAGGTTACATAATGGTGATTTCACAGGGCGGCACTTTTATGTCCCTTTGCTGGCAGACTTTCAGATCAGAGCAGCTTTCTATCTATCTCCATGCACCCACCAGTCTGTCGGGCTTAGAAATAAATGTATATGCAGATGCCTCTGCCCTCTGGATCGTCAAACATAACTGGACTGAAAATCTGTAACTGCATTTTTGCTTTTTGCTAAGTGACACTCTTTCAGATAGCTCTGACTGCCTTTTTATTGATGTTATTCAGTTTACCATTAGCTCTTCAGCTGTGTTTTTTTTTTTTCTTGGCATTTAGATCATGACATCCATCAAGTGAAGGATCATATTGGTTTCTTTTATTGATGGAACCAACAGCCCAGATGTTGCCCAGTCCCTGGCAAATAATATCTGCTCCATTAATATTTATGGTATAAGATTTTTGAATCCATTTATTGATATTCAACTCTAGCCTACATTACAGGATAATGGTGTAAAAATCCTATCAAAGAGTTGGTGCAGAGAAATATCCCTGACACTGTATTATCCTAAGGTTTGTAATATGCTACTGTGGTGTCTTGATGACAACTATCCTGTTCACGAAGCTGCTCTGGTGTCCTCAGAGTTGCACTGAGTGGGCATCTGGAGCTAATGGTCCTCTTCAGTGAGGAATTAGACTAATTTTAAGAAAGCACGTGGGCTTCCATCATAAGCCTTGGCCAAATGTGTGAATTCTACAGAGTTTCCCAGGTTACGAATAGGAGCTCTGCAAATGCCCAGAGCTGTAGAAACATTCGGTTTCTTCCACAGTGTCTTCAAGAATCGGAATCAATCTGGAAAAGAGTGAACAGCCTTTTTATGTAAAGATAGGAACGAGAGGAGCCCTTACCTGAACAGAAGTCATCGGAATACCGGTCGTAGACAGCTCTGCAGTCCCTTTCGTCACACTCACAGGTGTCCCCGTGAATGTCTCCCCAGTCCCCAGTTGGATCGACATCGTGGCAAGAACATTCACCACACACGCAAGTCCCTGGGTGGAAAAAGGAATTTCATCCAGGTGCAGTCGAGAAGAACCAGGAAAGAAAGCATCTCCCATGCTGCTGCTCTTTTTTACTTGGAAAATACACATTTCAGATAAACATGTTCTAAAATGGAAAATCACCCTCTGAATTTGGTAGCAGGGAGTCCTAACAAATAAACAACCACCGCTCTCATCTTTGATCAGGTGAGACAGAGGGACTTGTCATTAGCACCGTGTTAGTTTCTCTCAAAGAAAATGCCACAACAATTAGCACAAAGTCATCTTTTCCCTCTAGAAGCTTACAGTCTGTTGGCCAAAAAGAAAGCTAGAGAAAGAAAAGAGCCAACAGTGACAGCAGGAGCACTTGACATTTCGTCAACAGGACATACACATGTGTGAGTTTAGGAGGGAGGGCTCAGCGTGGGCTGGAGGGACAGAGGAGGAGGAGAACCTGAGGAGGCTGAAGGAAGCGGGCAGGTGGTGGTGGGCATGGGGGTCCCAGTGCCCGCAAAGGAAGACTGAGAAGTCAGTTTGCTGGAGGATGAGTCCAGGACATGGAGGCTGCTCAGCGTCCAAGTGAGAAGTGTACCTCCGTCACTAGGATGTGTGCAGATCATCAGTAGCCATCTTTAGGGCAACAGCTGATCCTCTGGGGGCAAATAAAGTTAGATTTCTTTCCCCACATCTCCCCCCTTTATATTAAAATAAGTAGTAATTGAATGAAAGATTTAAACGTACAAAATAAAACCAAAAATACGAAAAAAAATCCTTTATTCAAACCCCCAAAGCAGAATTACTAAAACTATAAAAAGAGACAGATTTAACCTCATCAAAATCTGGATTTTGGTTCAGGAACAAAACAACTTAAAAAAAAAAAAACACTAAAGAAGCTGAAACAAACGTTCACATGTATGCCAAAAATAAGTGCACATTCACAAACATGAATATCTCTTAGGAATCAAGACATAAAGGTTAAATATACCTGAAGTAAAACAAGCAAAGACCAGGAACAACCTAGGAAATTTCATAGAGAAGGATGGATGGATCAGTGTAAGCAAGGATTACTAAGAGCCAGGCTGAGGCTTTAAAGCAGCGGTGAGCTGGGGTTACTCTGGATGCCTGGCTGTGGAGGCAGAAAGGACTGCCAGAATCCAGGGGTGGTACAGGGTAGGGCAAGAAGCATCTCCCGCTCTAAAGTGCAGGACAGGGCAGCAACTCTGGGTGACACCTTCATGGAATGCACTCTAGATGTGGGGTAGTGTCCAGCGAACTGTCCACTTCAATCAATACTTCCAACAGAAAGGAAAAGCACAACTCAGGAACATGAAATGTGATTATGTTACTGAAAAACAGCTAGTGACCGGGCATCCAGCAGTGGAGAATGAGTGTGGTAACAATGTGTGTGTCCGGTGGATTACAAAGCCCTCATTAGGAGCAATAATCAGCTTGTTGCTCTATGAACACGGGAAGAGAAGCAAAATATGTTACTCAATGAATAGAATCAAACTACAACCTGGTATGGATAGTATGATTCAATTTTTGTGTCTACTAAGAAGAAAGATAAAAGTAGTCATATTCCTTAGGAGGGTGTCATGGTTTTGATGTGAGGTGTCTGCACAAAAGCTCACATGTGAGACAATGCAAGAGGTTAGAGGTGAAGTGATTGGGTTATGAGAGTCTTAACCCAATCAGTGCATTAATCCCTGATAGGGACTCACTGGCTGGTAACTGCAGGCAGGTAGGGGTGGCTGCAGGAGGTGGGTCCCTACTCGCCCCGTGCTTCCTGACCATGTCCTGGGCTGCTTTTCTCTGCCACATTCTTTCACCATGACATTCAGCTTCACCTTAGGCTTCAAAGAATGGAGTCAGCCATCTATGGACTGAGAACTCTGAAACCGTGAGCCCCCAAATAAACTTTACCTCCTCTAAAATCCTTCTTTTTTAATCTTTTGGTCACAGTAGTGAAAAAGCTGACTAAAACAAAGGGCATGGGAGTCACACAAGTGAATTTGAAATTAAAATTTTAATAATAATTTAAATAAATAAGTACCCAAAAAAGTCATGTATCTAAATACAAAAGAATGCTATATCTGGATGTTAAGATGATGTATCATTTTCCTTTTTCCCCTTATCCTCTATCACCTGAATTCTTTTAAAAAAATGGATATGTTCTACTATCATAACAGTATAGATGATGGAGGACAGGGACCACTGGCCACTAGCTCCTCAGGCCTCGCATGAGACTGAGAGTGCCCCAGGTGGTGGACGACCAAGAACATTTCCCATCACCAGGTGGCTGTGCCTGCAACCTGGTGTTGGGCTAAAAATCAACCCAAGGCGAGTGTGAGCAGGGGCCAGTGTCTCTCTTGTCCCTAGGGAGGCGGTGATAAGAAAATGTGCCACAGCAGACAGGAGCGTGCCTTCTGAGAGAAAAGGCCCATCTCAGTGCTCTGCGTTCCAGTCCCCTGAGCTTTCTGAGCTAGGAGCCTCACTTAGGCAGGCTGCAGGCAGTACCATGGAGAGGTGGTCCAGTGGGCGTTTCCAAGGGTCACCTGCCACTCAGAGCCCACACAGCTCTGTGGCAGAGCCTGTCCCTAACCACAGCCCAACCCACCTCGCTCCTGCCTCTCCTGGTTCAACATCTGAGCCATTCCACAGCAGCACAGCTCAGGCTTCACACACTGACAACATAGGGTCTAGGTACCCTATCAAACCAAAAGGACTTGAGCAGAAAATATGTCCCTATACATGAAAAGAAGCACAGAGTGAATTAGTATGACAGACAGCAAGATCTAGTCTACGGAAAGAGAGGACTCTATGAGGTTGTGCTCTGAGTTTAGGATTCTTGATTTCCTCTTTCTATTACAGAACTTTGGCACATGGAACTCTTTTCTCAGTTTTTAAAGCTTTCCAGGTCAGCATGACCTATTACAACAAAAAATTTGTTTATGAAAATGAAAACAATAGTTTTCTCGCTTTCTAGAATTTTATCATTTTATAGAAGGAAACACAGCCATTATTTATGCCTCAAGATAGGCAATGGTCCAATGTGGCCCTCTTTTATCTACCTCAAAGGGAAAAATAACAAAGATTTTAAAAACTGTCTAACAAATTTGATTTTACATCAACTATCAAGTAACTGTAGTTTATATTTTATCAGTGTGAACAAATTTTTTAAAAATTCCTGCTTAAGATCAAGTTTAAATTTCACAGGGCTATCTGATGAATAGTTTCAATATCATGTTCCTATTATGGCAGACAGAAGTTAAATTCATCTACATCAATTCTACATTTTAGCCAAGACTTGGATTTACTCATAATTAAGAGAAGAGGGTTTTCTGAATGCTCTCTGGATAATTAGATGCTCATACTGCCGATGGTTCTGTTAGTCAAGAGACATTTAGCAGAAGTATCTACAAGAATTGCCTTTTAGCTGTACTGTGCTATTTCTGGATGTCCGCCAAAGAAATTACTGTCCCTATGTCAACCGTTTGTTCAGTGAAGCTTAAAGAATGACAGCAACTTTCTTATCTTTCTGTTTTCTGCTCAGTAAAGAACAAGAAAGAGAAGATTGTTGGTAAGCACTGATTTACATCGAAGTAAATGACATAAAAGACAAGTCCCTCCCACACTGAAGGAAATAGAGAGCCATGTTAACAATTAAGAGCTCTGTTTGCCTCCCGATGATGTAGTAGCGTTTATGATGACACACCTCTGTTACTGCAGACTCTGCCATCAGGAGCTGTGCATCTTCGCTTGCTTTCCCAGGGGGGGATGTCGCACTGGAATTCGCATTTGTCTCCATGCCAACCAGCCTCACAGTAACAGTTTCCACAGTAACACTTCCCATGGCCTGTACCCAAAAGAATTTTATACAGTGAGGAAAAAAGCAACTTTTCAAAGCAGTATTAGCTTTCCACGTCTTCCCGATTATTTTTGCCTTTTAAAATAATATGAACCCCACATTCCTTACTTAAAATAATCAGATTATATAGTTTTCCTTCAAAACATCATGATTACACTTATCCCAGCATAACTATGTAAATAGAGTAAGCTAGTGTGTCTTTTAGCTTGACCTACACAGACAGCAGACCCAACCAAAAAGTATTTCTAAAGAAATGATGTGAATGACTATGAGAATCTATTACTTTGCCATCTCAGATGCATGCATCAAACGCCAATGAATGCATGCATCCACTCTAAGGGCATTTCTTGGATTAGTTGTTACATTAGTTTATTTGAGATCCACTACTGGGGAAACAATGGTACATATTTACTTAGATAAACATTATTAATGACTGAAACATTTTGAAGCCAGAGGAAATATTTCATCTTTCCATTCAACTGTGTCGCACGAGCTGTTGTGTTTTACCACATGGAAAAAAGGTTTCCAGCTAAGTCAGCGCTGAGTCCTGACTTAGACCAATAAAGTACTGTGGGTTCTCATTCTCACAATCAAATTCTTCCCCTGTGTCAAGGAGACACAAATGACAGTTGGGGATACCTGTCATCTTGGGTTCAGGGGCCACTGGTTCAGCCCCCATTCATCCCCAAATCCCTTCTGGCACCCTCTCTTCTTTGTGGGTATGCCATCCCAGTATGAATGAACGTTCTTATTCATGTTTTGTTTCTTAGTCTATTCTTTCTACATTAGAAGAGTTTGTATTTATCTGTCCATGGAAAAAGTTTTTGTTCCTCCAACTTTCTTCTCCTACAGCCAAAATGACAGAGGACCCATGGAAAACTGACTGTGGAGCAATTTTTCAACCTCTTCAAAGCATATTTTTCATTCTAACATATGGCATCTCTAGTCAATGACAAAAGCATTAGTAGGGCCTATGAAACTCCCATAAAAAGTAGAAAACACAGAATATTCTAGTCTCCAGTACCACTGGTGTTTAACAAATGGTGTTTAACACTTCCATCTAACAGATGTGCATTCAGGAGACAGAGAAAGAGTGATGAAGAGGAAAAGCACTCTAGGAATAGAGAGGAGAAAGGACTTAAGAGTAATGTCATTTCTTATCTAAATGAGTAAGTTGACGAATCCATAGAAACCTCCTAAACCCATAGACAATGGCCATTTCTATAACACAATTTGTTATTTAATTTGATCCCTTAAACAAATGCAAAGGATATTAAATGATTTAAGCAGCAATAAAACATAGTGTTTATACTATGTTAAAGTTATACTATGTTAAAACTATGAAGTATGTTATAGTTTTATTTATTAACAGAGATATCTATGTGCACACACAATGAAATTACATTTATAGCTATATCACAAACCTCAGGAACTTGAGGAGATACTACAAAAAAGCATGATTGCATTCACTTTTCTTCTTATGAATCAAGTTTTAGAAAATTCCATCAACTTCTTAGGATTATAGAAATTACTAGCTGTTTAATGTCATGAAATTTTCACATATGGTAATATATATATATATATATATATATATATATATATATATATATATATAATGTGTGTATATACACTTAAAATATATATATAATATATAATATATATTATATATACATATTAAGGATAACCATAATACTAACAAACAATCATAAAGATAATTAATTTATACCCACATTCTTTATATATTTATAAAATTCAGTTCTGAATTAGGGTTCTATTAAGAAATCATGGTGTTAAGGGTAAATAAGAAAACAAAAATAATGTAAAGCTACACCTGCCTGAGACAGAAAAAAATTAAACAGAGGTTATATAAGTCAAATGAAAACACTGTAACAATACATACTGTGACAACTGATATAAAATGTAAGCTTTAGGACAACATATATTCTGTGCCATAAACATAACTCTGCATTGTGTAAACTGATAGAGCAAGAAAATCTCTTTATATAGTGCTTCACGGATGGACTATAGAATCATCTTTCAACAGATTGGTTTCATCTGAATGACAATAACATGGAAAGACCTACCATCCTAGACAATGTCATCCCCAGAGGCTCTTTACTAGGTTCTGGTATCTGTGGACAGAAACTTCCCAGAAAATTGCCTAAGCCCCAAAAGTGAAAATAACAAGAAGAAAAAATGAAGTTGAACACTTCCTGTCGTGCTGTTTCAAGTTAAATTTGCGTATTCCCACATGCAGATGGACCAGGCTTTGGTGATGTTTGTTGGGACACCTTGGCCCTGCAGCACACACTCCTTTCTTATTTTTTCATCTGTAGTAATTGGAAACCAAGTATCAAGATGACAAATACATAATATTTGTGGGAAGAATTATCTAGCTTTTCTAATTATTTTGGACTGAACCCTTTAGGGGAATTTTCAGAGACATCTAGATTAGGTCACTAACTTAGAAAAATAAATTAAAGATTCTGGGTTTTTTTTTTTGTTGTTGTTGTTGTTGTTTGTTTGTTTGTTTTTATACCGGTGGGTTCTGCAGCCAGGAGACCAGGAAGAAGGACAGAACAAAGCTAAAGCAAGAATATCTGGAGGAGGCTACAGTGGGAACAAAAGCAATGCAAGGGGACAAAGGGACGGCTTGCCACGTGCTGGCCCTATTGGATCCTGATTCTCCAGGGAAACACTCTCTAAAACCACCTTTTCCACATACAAGACAAGATTCCACGGACTGCAATCCTGAAGGGCATGAGTGAAATACAAGTTTCACAACAGGAGAGAGGGATTTGCCTCTCTGAAGTGATTCTTGCTGCTCTCTGCTTCACTCTTGTGACAGTCAAGATTGCATATGAGACATCTGGCCCCAACTAGTGGGTGGAAGGATGGGAGAAGGAGGCTCTTCCCATGAGCTGCAGACTCCCAGGTATGAGGCTGTGCTGAGTGGCGAGGGGTCAAGACCATTCTTTTCAGAGTCAGTCAGAAAGGAGTCTAAATTCTACCATGAATGGGGGAATGACTGTGGGTAAATTGTCCAATTTATCCAATGCCCAGTTTCCACATCTGTCCCTGTGGTTAGACGTAACTCTTACTCTAGAGTGATGCTGTGAGATACGACATTAGAGTTTGAAGCATCGGTTGCAGTCCTAGCACTAGGAAACCTACAAGAATTAGTGCAATAGGAAAACAGCTTGAATAATGATGGTTGTAGAAAAGTTTGTAGAAGAGGTTATCTAAGCAGATATGGGGCTGGCTATGGGAGGTAGGTTCTAGGCTAACAGCCTAGTGAACTGCCATTTACTCAACAGGACACAAAACTCTCTGAAGGTTTATGATTTAAAAACAGAATGGAATTAAAATATAAAGTCAAGAGATAGGATTAAAGAGAATAAGAACAGCTAAGGTGAAAAGGGGAAAGATGACGTTCCATTTAAACCACTTCAGAGCCCTGCAGATGGTGCACTACCATAATGATGTGGTTCTCCTCCAGGGACAATCAAGTTTCACATTGAAAAAGCACTAGCCACTCTTAAGTGCTTTAGGCTAACTCCCTTCTGTATTTCCCAAATAAGCAGGTTCAAATTTAAATAGCACACCAGAGCAGAAACCTATGTGGAGACAAAAGTATGGTAAAGGTACTTCAATGAATTTCTACAGTTAATATACATACCTCCACATATCTCTTCTGTTTCATCATCTATGCATTCTCTGTCATCACACTCACAGAATTTACCATAAACAAGGCCATTTCCATCCGAATCGTCACATTTACACCTGCCACAGTGACATGTACCTAAACCATTAAAACAAAGAAAGATTGTTTATTATGTGCACATAAGTTACAGCTAATAAAGTTCTTGTCTTGTTTCTTTCAGGTGAATACACAATTCAGATCAATTCAGTATTCCAGTTATGCATTTCTGTGGGTACGATGAGGTTGAAAATAAGCTATTCCTTTTTGAGATTGCCATGGCACAGCATTATATTTTATATTATGCAGCTCTTATTATTGACCTCTAATAGTTTAATGAATATAATTTGACCTCTTCAGTGCAGAGCTTGTCCCTTCAACTGATGCATAAATGAATATCTGCTGATTACACCTGAGTCTGAAGTGAAATAAAGCAGAAAATTTGAAGCATTGTGAGGAAAGTAACTTTGCTTATCTTTCTCACCAGGATTTATTCAATGCTTTGCATAATGTTTGAGCACACTATTTACATAATAATATTTTTGGAATTAATTTCTTATCCAATGCATGAATGGAAAGCATATACACCTCCGATAATTTCACATCCTCAGCATGAACTTACACCTTTGCTCTTAATGACAATAAGACCTAGTGGGTTTTCTTAGGCATAGATTCCTGGAGGGTCACAGAATCTCAAAGCAGCTCAGAGTGATAGAGACACTGGAGTCATCTGGTCTACCATAGCCATGTGCTTATGCAATTCTGAAGATCTGATTACATTCCCCAAGAATGATTTCATTGACAGTAATATCACATTCAGATGGTACCAGAGATAAGATGTCTTCTTAAGAAAAGTGTACTTTTATATATATTCCATGTTTAATTGGTTATCATAGCTATAACTATATAAAATTAAGACTTTATCATCCATCAGATTCTACTCTAATCTCTGGAAATCCAACAGTTCAAGTCAGCCATAATCCTCTTCTCAGAGCTAGAAATCAATGTGATAAAATAGAGAAGTGCAAAGTGCTGCAAAAACACATAGCAAGGGGATTTAGCTGAGACCTGGAGGTCAAAGGTAGAGTTCCGCAGGAAGCAGCTGAAAACTGAGAGCTGTTTTAAAAAAAAATCGCTAAGCGAAGTGAGTGGCGAAGAGGTTCAGTTACAGCAAGAGACAACAGCAAAGGCTCAGGGGCAAAAGAGGATAAAAGGAACAAACTCAGAGAACTTTGAGTTTACAAAATGACGTGAAAAGTGTAACAAAAGGGGCAGTGGGTGGAAGTTTTATAGGTCATGCCAAAGAATTCCGACTTTAATCCAATAACAAGAAGTCACAGAAGTGGTCTCAGGAAGGGTTAATGAGACCAGGTATGAATTTATACCAGGTGCTCTGGTTGTCACATGGAGAATAAATTGAAATGAGGCAAAAGTGGACATGAAAAGAAGTTAAGAGGCAGTTATATGTGTCTGCAGGAAAGAAGGTAGACACCAGGTGGAAAATGGCAGTGAGTTTACAAAGAAGTAAACATATTTGGGGAAATTTCAGGAGAAAGAACACACAGCATGTGGTGGCTGATTGGGTATGAGAGACGAATGAGGGGGAGGAAACAAAGATGCTATTTGGCTTGAGCGACAGGATATTAGCAATTCTGGATGTGGTGCACTGGAAAAGTATGGACTCCAGATTAAGGTAGACATATAATTGAATCCAGGTGTTAATCCTCTCTGGCTATGCATTTTCAAGATCACTTTCATTTCTCTCTTTCAGATTATAGATGTGCAAATAGATGTGCTCTAGCTCCTCAAATATATTGTCTGATTATTTATTTATTTATTTATTTTTTAATCATAAAAATTTTATTTTCAGATTCTCTTATAAAATAACATTTTAAAAGATATACTTGACTAAGTAAAAAAAATTAAATTAAATTGATACCACCAGAGATCATGGGCTATTAAAAACAAGAGGATTTACAGTCAATTGATAAAACACATTAGTAAAATTAATCATTCAGTGATTATAAAACTAAAAGAAGAAATCCTTTTTTGATGCGTAAGGAAAGTGTTGGATATTACAAAATAGTAAGCTAAGGTAATTGTGGTTTATAGGAAGTGACATATTGAATAACTTATTGAGACAAAATGTTCAGATAATTGTGCATAGTTATATTTGAAGGACCGACACTAAAAGAATAAGTTTTCCAAATGAAGCAGCAGGTCAATAAAGGTATAAAATGTTATCGATACAAGACAGAAGATAACAAAGGAAGCAAAGAAAAAGAATGTAGCAATGAAATATAAAGTGGGATAACCATCCAAGTATTTTAGTAATCATTCTATAGAAAGAAAAAGGAAAAGACCTCTCATGCAAACACTGATCAGAAGAAAGCTGATGTAGCAATAATGTAAAAAGTAAATTTTTTTTTTTTTTGTAATGCCCAGGACTTGTAATCATCTGATGCTGTGGAAACATGTTTGAATATCAAAACATATTCAATATATGAAACTAAAAATGTTTTAGTCGTAGTTCTTTAAAATTGTATTCAATTATTTATTTTTTATTTTTTTTATTGGTTGTTCAAAACATTCACTGCTGTGTATAGTCCGTAAGAGGCTTTCAGAAAAATTTGAGTCCTCCCTCCCCTCTTATACCACTAAGATATTGAGATATCATTCCTATTCCAAATACTTTCTCCAGATTCACCTTATATTTGTGGGTCCTGAAATGCCCTTGTTTTTATGTCTTCTGTGTGATTCTAGGACCCAGATCATTTGCAATTTACTATTATCTATAGGTGTTTTTCTCTCATAAGTACCTATAAATGATGATTATGCAGAATTTGAGTTTGTTATTTTCTAGCTTGAGAATGTGCATGTGAATTTGACTTTTATTAAACTTCATTTTTTTGTGTTTATTTCCTGAAAACTATTTTACTTTTATAAAAGTTATTTGAAAAGAGGTAGACTTTAAATTTTGGGGTGCATTATAATTATACATAACAGTGAGATTCATTATGCCATATTTGTATGTACATGTAACATAATTTATCTATCTCATTCACCAGGACCTTCCCTTTCCATCCCCTCCCCTTGATTTGCTTGCTCTGCTCTACTTATTTCCCTCTTATAATTGTTATTGCTATTTTAAACAGTTTATACACACCTATATGGGATTCCTTTCAGTATATTTGTACATAGACATGGCATAATTTTGTTATTTTATTCCCAGTATTTTCACATACCCTTCCCTTCTCCCCCTGCCTTTTTTATCATCTTTTTCTACTCTATTAATTCCCTTCTATTTTAGTAAGATTCCTTTTGTTTTTATTTCTTTCTGTCTTTTATGTCTAACTTCCATGCATGAGAGAAAACATTGGACCCTTGGCTTTCTGGGTCTGCATTATTTCACTTAGCATGATGTTCACCATCTAATGTTACAGTTCATGATGTTGCTTCATCTATTTTTTTCTACCATCCTTTTTTTATTTCATATTTATTCATTCATCTTCTCAGCCTCTCTCATATTTAGTCATTAAACTGTCTGGTGACCTACGTTGTTATCAGCAAAAATGCTGTAGGAGATAATAAGATTAATAGCATTAAATAAACCACAGACCAGGAAGAAAGTTATCATTGATAAGATATACACATATATATCTTGCGTAATCATACACTATAAAGCCATTAGGGTGTGTGTGTGTGTGTGTGTGTGTATGTGTGTGTGAGTATAGACAGAAGATGCATGACACAAAAGCATCTGTAACAGATTTGAGGCAAATGCTATGCAGAAATGATAAACCTCAGGCTGGCTGTGAAGAAGGGAGGCAGAGAGAAGGAGTCAGTTCTTGAGTTGGCACCTGTATATGGGTAGAATTCCAACAAGTGAAGATGGAGAACAGATTTTTGATGTTGAGGGAAATGCCTAGCATAGGGAATAAGGATGGAAATAAAGAATCTGACTTGAGTCTGGGGAAAAGGTAGGCTAAAGGCAAACAGTGGAGACCAAGATCACAGGTCAGGGATTTAAGATTGCCTGCTGGAATAAAAGGAGTCTGCTGTGTTTGGGAGCAGAGAGTAACTTGGTCAGGGCTCTGTATGCGGAAGGTGTCCTGTTGTCTATTTTTTGTTTTTTATTGACATCCATCCTCCCACCCCCGAAAGGTGGAAAGAAACAGCCTGTGCTTCTGAATTCTGCAACTCCTCCCCGATGTCCCCCACCAGCAGACTCACTCTCATCCACACGTGCGAACTGTTCCTGGCTGGTGTGGGAAGTTTACAATAGCTCAGAGACTTCCTGTTTCACCCATCCAGCAGAATTCACAACTGAGCCTCCAAGACATGGCATATGGACGCCCAGGCAAAAGTGCCAGACTCCTGTGTTCGGGCTGTGTCATGCTGCTTCTCTTTCTTGGTTGCCAGTTAACTCACTCTAGGATTGGTCTCCTGCTTTATACCAGATTATTTTAGCTCTGGTTCTTCATGCAGCCTAATATAGCCGACTAGGATGACTTACCAGACTTGAACACCAGTCCACATCCCTGTGCCAAGGTGCTGGAGCCTCCCCCTCGCTCTACACATTACCACCTTTATGGGTTTCTCACAGAGATAGTTGGTCCCCAACTCTATCTCATCCTGCTCTTCAGTCTTATGCTCAACCCATTTATTTCCTCTTTCCCTGCTGCTCCAAGCTACTTGTAGAGGACCACATTGAAATATGAAACAGAAAGATTACAAGAGAGAGGCTTTAGGCTAATGAAATTTGTAGGAAGTGGCCTGAACTGGGCTGGTGGAAGTGGGTATTAGAAGACAGACAGGTGAGAATGAGATTGCTAAATAGGAAAGACTTACATATTAAGATGGAAGTGTGAAGGAAAAGGTTCAAAGTAACATTGAGCATAAATTTACCCCTTGGCCCCATAATCTCACTCCTGATCAATTACACTGAAAGATGCACCTCCAAAAATACGAAAATACACACGGACCAGACAATTCCATGCATTATTATTTGCAATTTGAAAATATCAAAAACTCCAGATGCCAAAGCATAGGAGATTGAATAAGTCATGCCACATTCAGACAATTCAATACTATGGTTTTGAAAAAAGAATGAGAAAATTTTCTATGAACTGATACATAGTGAATTCCAGGATATAATGTTGAATGGCAAAAGCAGATTTGCAGAAGAACATAGTGTGCTATCTTTTGTATAGGGAAAAAAAAGAAAAACATAATATATCCATATATCTATTTATCACTACAAAAAGAAACACTGTGCAGGTAAAGCATAAAGCAATGAAGCTGATTCCCCAGGATGCTGAGAGTAAGGTAGAAAGCTTTGGAGGAGAGTGATGATTCTCTGAGGACTCTTCTGCATACATGTGACTTCTGGAAATGTGCTCTGTGTACTGTGCATTACAAAATATAACTATATTAATGAACAAAGGAAAGGAAGGGGAAAAAACTAAAACTGAAAATAATACAAACTAAAGATGCTCAATTGTACTTCAACTTACTATCATAACCACATTAATGGGGAGAAAATAAAAGGAATCCAAGTAACTTATGAATGCAGCATTTGATGACATACTCTAATCTTAGGCACGATTAGGGCTAAATGAGGGTGGGGAGGGGGTATATGGGGAACAAATCTTGGTCTTTTTTGGTAGATTTGTTTTGTATTGTTGTGCATATGAAGCAATTCTGCAAACAATTGCAGATGAAGCATAGGATTGAAAAAATGAGATATGAATTTTGGTATATGAAAATATGGAATGGGGAAAGCAAGAAATTACCCGTGTGGGTGGACTGGAATTGAATACATTGGTGTAAAATCATTATTTCTTACACACATACACACGTGTGCTTCTATGCCTGTAGATATATGTATGGAAATTCATGCATGTATGCATGTGTATGTACCTGCATGTATTTAGTAGTGTTAATGTAAATTAGAGAACAGGTCTTAAGAATCCCTGATCCCTGAGCAGGTAAAATCAGTTAGGTCTCATGAGTGACCTTAACCTTTCTTGATTGGTAAAAATGTGTGCAACTTATCTTGTATATGGGAAAAAATTAAAATAAATATTAATATATGTATTTATCTCTACAAAAGGAAATACATGTGTATTGAGATATTTCTTATAAATCTCAACATTGGAAAAAAAGAGAAAAAACAGAATGTGAGCTCAACCACTCAGAAGCAAACAGAAAACTTATCATCCTTATATAACCAGGGTCTTCCATTGGGATTGACCAAAAAGGAAAATTTACAACTGTAACCAATTAAATATTTCATTTGCTTTACTTGTATTTGGTCAAAGCCTTCCATTTGCATTCTCTCAGTGCTTCTGAACCACCTCTGTTTTGGAGATGCCCAAATAATGAATCATTCTTTGAGCAAATAAATTCCAAAATTATATTGTGCCTCACTCTACCTTTTTGACACTAGCATGTTCATTAAAGAAATGGCCAAGAAAAATACACCCCGATATAAATAAACTTCCTTAGGGATCACAAATTTTTCTTTCAACATTTTTATTCATTCAAAAAGAACCACAGGGCTGGGATTGTGGCTCAGCAGTAGAGCGCTCACCTGGCACGTTCAAGGCCCTGGGTTCAATCCTTACCACATAAAAATAAATACATAAAACAAAGGTATTGGGTTCAACTTTTTTACAAAATAAAAAAATATTTTTAAAAAAAAAGAACCACAGTTCTTTGTATATACAAAAAAAAGTAAAAATAACATATTAGTAGAAGCAAAACAAAATGAAACAAAACAACTGAGTCAGATCCCAAGAACACAAAATATAGCCTGAGAAGGTTTAAATATCTAATCTGAGACAATCTGTGCACAGAGTAATTGAATATAAAAGTGTCTGACAAACCATTGAAATCATAGGAGTTGTGATTCCAGACTGCTAATAAATTCCATGTAAATAAAATATTGAATAACAGGCAAATAAGGGAAGGTGGCCATTTGTGGAAGAATGTTGGGTGTCAATTGGTAAATATTAAATTTGGATTTCAGAAATTATCATTTTCCAATCATCCTCATAAACTCTCCATAAGAGAGAGTCTTAATTTTAATGAGGATTGGGGTATTTGCTTGCTTTCAAAGTTTTTCCCCATAGCTGGGTGACTTGTAAAATGGGTAAATCAGTGATAAAGTCAGTAATAACAGGCGTGACATCAGACATCACCTTGATGCGTTGGTCAGAAGTGATCCCCCACAATCCCAGCAGATGGACATCACCGGCTTTAAATGAAACATCCTAAAAGCACAAAATCATCTATCTGGTATCTCACCTAAGAATAGATAGCAAGAATCTAATCATGAGGAGGCATCAGACAAGCCCAAAGTGAGTAACATTTTATTTAAAAAAGAAAAAGATGTTCGGACAATTTTCTTCAAGGCTGTCAGTGCTATAAAGCCAAAGTCAATAGAAACTGTCCAGATTAAAGAAAGCCAAAGAAAGAGAACTAAGTATAACATTGTTCCTAGATTAGATCCTGCAAGGAGAAGGAAACATAAAGAACTTTGTTGAGTCAATTGACAAAACCGAATGATGGATGGTAGGCAGTTAGATAAAAAAAAAGTACTGTACTTTTTAAATTATCTGTTTCAATGTTTAAAAAAAAGTACAAGTATAGATATCTTAGAAATGTTTTAATTTTATCAAATAGTTTATCATCTATCAAAACAGTTCTGTGTATTTTCTCCTTTGAAATATGTTATTGTGAATCATGAGAACATTAAGATTCCTAGACTAGCCCTCACATGGTTATAATGCATCTTAGTACCTGAATTTGATTATTTAAAAGCATAATGAATAAAGTAAAAAACAGATAACTTAAAAAAGCTGCTGGTGAGACTGCAAATTGGTGCAGCCAATATGGAAAGCAGTATGAAGATTTCTTGGAAATTGTGAATGGAACTACCATTTGACCCAGCTGTCCCTCTCCTAGATCTATACCTAAAGGACTTAAAAACAGCATACTACAGGGACACAGCCACATCAATGTTTATAGCAGCACAATTCACAATAGCTAAACTGTGGAACGGATCTAGATGCCTTTGAAAAGATGAATGGATAAAAAAAAATGTGGCATATAAAAATGGAATATTACTCAGCAATAAAAGAGAATAAAATCATGGCATTTGCAGGTAAATGGATGGAGTTAGAGAAGATAATGCTAAGTGAAGTTAGCCAATCCCACAAAACCAAATGCCGAATGTTTTCTCTGACATAAGGAGGCTGATTCATAGTAGGGTAGGGAGGGGAAATGTGGGAAGAATAGACAAACTCTAGATATGGCAGAGGGGTGGGAAGGGAAGAGTGGGTGTATGGGGTAATCAATGATGGTGGAATGTGATAATCATTACTATCCAAAGTACATGTATAAAGACACGAATTGATGTGAGTATACTATGCATACAACCAGAGACATGAAAAATTGTGCTCTATGTATGTAGTAAGAATTGTAATGCATTCTGCTGTCATATATTAAAAAAGTAGAATCCTAGTCTTTATTAATAAGTTTGAAAGAATGAATATTTTCAGGATAAAAGGGGCTACTGTCTGTGTGCAGGGGTGTGCAGGGTGCATATTGTTGGGTGTTCTGAGTCAGAGGTAGAGAAATCCTACCTCTGAAAGAAAAGGAAAGGCTGATGTGCTGAGAAGTGGGGAGAGGAGCACAAGCACAGGAAGTGACACGACTGCTCAGACCACTTGTCTTGGTCCCTGATGGGTCCTCTGGCACCGCACGCTGGGTGTGGCCCTGATTCCTATTAGCCGAGCACCCTTACCCGGCTTCCTCTATACCAAGCAATCTGCAGCAATCAGATGTGGAAAGGTCCTAGCTCTGATTGCAGAAGGGCCCTACCAGTAATGCAAGCTTCAGCAAGGGAAGGTATTCGTTCAGCAGGTCAAATCCTTGCCCTTACACATGGAGAACACTGGCTCCCTTCCCTGGATGTGCATTAGGATCATCCTGGGAGCTTAACAACCCACTGAAGTCCAGCCACACCCTAAAGCACCTAAAGCAGAACTTCTGGGGAAGGACATTGGCACTGACATTTATCATTTACCCTTTGGGATTCTCATGTTCTACCACAGTCAAGGAAAAACAACTTTAAGGCTCCACACACCCAGATATTAAGAATATTTAATTATAGTAACACTAGCTAAACACCATTCCAACCTAAACTGCAGCTGCTTTGCTTTACATGGTTTGGTTAATTAATTTTTATACCTTCTCTGCCATCTTCTAAGAAATAGTTTTAAATGACTCTGATGCAATATAAAAATATTTCGGTCAAACAAAAACTCTCACTGCCATTCTATTCTTCAATGTGTTTCATATCCAGTATTACCTGAATCATCTATAAAATTAAAAGCATTTGATTTTATTTGATGCTAAGGTATAAATTCAAAGCACCCTTGATCTGTGGCAAATAAATAAAAAAGCTGGTTACATAAATCTTTTCATAAGATTTAATCCTCCATTCCAAATCATGGCTCCCAATTTACATAAGATTCTGTGGGAGGTGGTTTGCAGTGAATACCATGCTCCAAGGCATGCTCTGAGGAGGCAAAGGAAAAAACTGGAGAGCACCAAACTTGCCAGTCTCAGCAAGATGACATTTTCTCCCTATTGATTTATCTAAATTTCACTTCTAAAAAGAATACTCAAAAGCAGCTTCACTCCATTTCAACATTTCTCCACGCCTACAAATTTCCATTAAAAAAAAAAAACAAAACAACAAGATTTGATTACTTCACTTCAGAATCTTCAAGGGACAGAATTCTTACCTGCATTGGAGCAGATGACATCTTGAGAATTCTTGCACATTTGGTTGCTTTTTTTCCTTGTCAGGTTACAGTTGGTTGGGTACTGGCAAGCATCCCCAGACCACCCCGCATCACATCTGCACTTCCCGCAGTCACAGGTACCATGGCCTGAGGATTTAACAACATCCAGTGAGACTCAAACTGTCTTCCTACCATTGTAACAAAAACTCTTAAGGGTGGCATCCGTTCAAGGGTGAGCAATAATAAATTGAAACACACATATCTCTCAGAGGCTAAGGGATAATGCTATTACCTATAGTGTAATGCAATATAAGAATTTTATCTCAATAATCAGCTTTGATAAATGATTGTATAAACCTTAAATTAATTTATAGAGAAATCAGGGTAATACATCAGAAATCTAATAAACCACATGGTCAAAAAGTTTTGAAATCAAAATATAAAAATCTACTTTGTACCACAGAATTTGAGAAAAAAGCCTAGGAGGAATATTTTTATTTAATTGTATTTCATCATGCCTAAAACCACAAATTCTGAATGAGGAAGCTTTGTTTAATGAAGAGCCATTAAACTAAACATCAGTCCTATAGTTATCTGAATTAAACAAGAAATAAAATTTTATGGATACATAAAATATCACCATGGGATAAGATTTACACATACAAGTAAATCCTTCTTCATGAAGAAATTTGGTTCAAGAATCAAAGGTATAAGAACTTCTGTCTCCATAGAAGTTTTTCAGTCCGTACTGATCTCCATCACCAGCCATCATCCTGCTTTTAGGCGATGTCAGTTATATGGCTGTGATCCTAAACTGCATTAAAAGCCCTCCTTGATGGAGCCCACAAATGTTTTTATCGACTGCACATTAGCCTGACCTAAGTACAAAGCACCTACACTTGGCTCTTGTCCTCAAAGAACTTACAAACTTCAAAGTCAAGGCTGATAGATAAAGAAGCTGGTGTTACCATTGTCCAGAAGTGTTTGCCATTTCATGAACAATAGTCTGTGACCTACAGGAAGAATGGGGATTTTCGGGACTATCTGGTTCTTGGAAGTTAGGCAGGGTTGGAATGGGTTGTAGGGAGAGAATGTTTATGTTACTAAAGATAATAATACTAGGTCTAAATGTCTAAGATTCAGAGACCTCATGGAATGAATCTTTGATCTGGTGCCAGCAGTCAGTCATTTGATGTGGCAGCCAGAATCCATAGGATGAGGTGCAGGTGGTTGGTCAGAATTGATAGCTCAGAAGCTGCCTGTCTGGGCGAGTTCACCACAGCCTGAATCGGATTGGCTGTGAGTTTAAAACCTCTCTTCATGTGTTCCAACCCTTGTAAATGCTTTTATTTCTGTTGCATTTGTCAAATCAATTGTTTCTGTTTTGCAAACAAAGTCCTGCAAGCACCTATTTGAAATTCGTTATACTCACTACAATTTGACTCTGTAAGTTGATCATATCATTTTGCATTCCTGTTTGTCCTCACACATTCCTGTCAGTCCTGGCCAACTTGGTATCATTCGTAAGCACAAGTGATCCTGCCTGTCAGCAATCCAATCTATTTGTAAAAGGGTTGATCCAAATTCTTGAAATGGCTAAGCCTCTTTTGGTAAATTATGTATCTTGGAAACTGTACTGACTCCTTCGTAACATTAATGTGTTAGGCTGAATCACATGATATTGCCACCTTTGTCAGTTGAGTATCAGATAGTTCTTATGGCTCATTCCAAAGAAAGGGCCTTATGTCAACAGTAAAGAAAAGTAGAAATGTTTTAGAAGATAAATGAGTTTGATATTAATGATTTGCTGACCCAAGGATAAAAGATGACTTAGTTCTTTTATGGTGGGTTGAAACTCTTACACCTTAAGGTACAGAATAGGTAGCAGAGATGAATCAAAGGTTAACACATTTTTTTTTGAGTCAAGGATCACAATTCTTTAAAGGGAGCAAAGATTAAAATGGGAGGGAAATAAGGAAAATGTACATAGGATAAGAAAAAACTCATTCATCTCAAACAGGCCCAAAGAAGCATTAGTAGATGCAATATTCTAAGGTGCTTATTCCACACAGCCCACAGAGGCGCAGTTTCATGAAACTCCCTCAATGAAAGACTCTAGGATAAAATAACCCTGGGAAGGAGTATTTTGTAGGCACCATGATACATACTGGTACACTGAAGACCCCCCAATGCACTGTCCTGAAAATGTGATTTATATATTTATTTATTTATTTTGTCTATAGGGCCCCTTCCCTCATGAAGAGAGTTAGCATCCTGGGGACCCACTCAGGCCAACCCTGGGTCTGGTGGTATGTTCTCAGCACTTCCTTTGGCATCTGCTCAAAAATGCCAGGGGATGTAGGGAAGGTTACTGCCTTCATATTCTTTCTCAACTCCATGCCCAGTAAAAACCTCTTTGATTCATTTCTCCCCATTTAGTAAAGCTAATAGAATAGAAATTGATTTTTGACTGTCAAAAATTATCAAATAATAGGCCACATACCCTTATTTGGAGGTAAATATATTATTTTTTTAGAAAAGAAAATAGTCTTCAGACCATTTTTATTATTTTTTCCAAGTTAATAAGAGATTCAACAGACCTCAGGGGATTAGATTTCTATATTATTGTGCCAAGGTAATCTCCATTACAGGGTCCATAATATGGCTTCAGTAAAAGACCCCATTTTTCAAAATAATTTACCCCTTATATATCAGTTTCCTGGATTCCCATAACAAAGTACTACCAACTTGGTGGCTTAAAACAGCAGAAATCTATTTTCCTACAGATCTGAAGGCCAGAAGCCAAAATCAAGGTGTCAGCAGCGTGGTTCCTCCTGCAGGGTAGTTCTGAGGGAGAACCTTCCCATGCCTTTCCTGCTACTGGTAATTATTGGCACTCCTGAGCTTTGTGTGGCTGAGAAGGCCCCTCCAGTCCCTGTCTCAGACCCCCACACCCTCTCCTCTGTGTCTGTACTGTCACCCCAAGATAAGCACACAGGGCACTGGACTTGGACCTCCCTACTCCAGCAGGACCTCACCTTAATATGAGTATATCTTAAAGATCCTATTTCCAGACAAAGTCATATTAACTGGCACAGGTGCTAGGAATATAGATCCTTATGGGGAAGGTGTTCAGCCCACAACAGTTGCAAATAGACATCTGTACATTCATCTTTCCTAATCCGAATTCAGGTGAAAGGTAGATCACTGTTTTCTCTTAAGATCTTGAGAAATTGGCTGGCCCAGGATGGCAGCTAGGCCATCTGCCCCTCGCCTCTGCCCTACAAAGGAAGATCCTGAGAACCCACATGTACTTGGGCACAGCTCCACTACTGGCGGCTCTGCCATCCCTCCCCTCTACTCCTCCTGTAATGGGCTCTCAACCACTGCTCCAGTCTAGAGAAATGAACAATGCCACAGACCCAGGGGCAGGCCAAGTCTGAGAGAGAGTTTGGGATCTTTAAGGTGGAAAGTTCTCAGTTCCAGGCACCTCAGTGTAAGAGACAAGACGTGACCATTTCCAGGGGTCCAGGTGGCCACATTCCCTTGGCTTCTCCGACAATCCCCACCCCCACATGGTAACAGTTGGAGGACCAGAGCAGGGACCCTAAACCACGGGACCCAGGACAGGACTCCTCCTACCCAGGCCTAGGGGTGGCCTCTGCTGTCCCAGGCCCACATCAAGTCCTAGCCAGCAAAGGCTTTCCCATTCCTGACTGTCTAAGCCATTCCAGCTGTTTCTTCCCCAGGCAATTCAGTTCCCACGACTATGAAATGTGGTCTTAAAACGAACAGAGCAACATGCTTCAGAATAAATCTGTTGACCTTCAGATAAGTTCCCAAGGAGTCGAGGGAAACCAACACAAAACAAAAATGTCAGAGAAAAGCAAAATGACTCCTTCACCAAAGCAATGGGGACGAGGAGGGGAAAGGCCATTTCTACTGTTTGCAGGGTTGTCATGGTGCAGCCCGGCACCGGGAAGGACGCCAAGCCACAGCACAGTGTGCGTTCAGTATTGTGATCCTCTTTTCAGGTAAGAGTGCAGAAGCCTGGCCACTTTCTCCCAGGCATGCTAACTTCTTGCTTCTCCTTTGATAAAGGAAAAGTATTCCAACAGAATAACATAGGTTTTGTGAATCCTGAATAATCAATAATCAGCAGCTCTGCAATTACTTCCTTTTTAAAAAAATTTTTAACTACGTAATGCCAAGGCACTAATCTACTCTAGTCAGTGGTGAAATTTTCCTTAAAAAACATCAAGGGAACAATGCAGGCACTTTTTATTCAGTTATTTTTTTAGTACTGGGGATTGAAGCCAGGGATACTTTGACACAGAGCTTTATCCCCAGCTCTTTTTTATTTGTTATTTTGAGACAGGGTCTCACCAAGTTGTGTAGGGCCTCACTAAGTTGGTGAGGCTGGCATCAAACTTTCAATTTTCCTGCCTCCTCCTCTGGAGTTGCCAGAATTACAGGCAAACGCCACAGTGCCCAGCAGATACCTAAACAAACTGCCTTAAAATGGAAACAAAGATTTTACCAGCATAGAAGAATTTTTAAATATCAACTATTCATTTGCATATATCAATGAAAAAATAATTGTAAATTGCTCTGCCAAATATAAGAAAGAAAAAATAAAGATGAAAGGGATAGCGCTTAACTCTCTCCTCCAAGTCTACTAGCATTTTGCATAAAAATAAAATGTACTTATTAAATTAGCTACACGTCTGTGGTCTCAAGACCTAATGAAATATTAAATAGGTAAAAAGTAGAAAACTAGCTAGCTAGATAGAAGTTGGTAAATATGTAGATAGGTAGACATAGATACAGAAATAGATGTAGATATATAAATGTAAATATCAATAGGTATGAATAAGTGTATCTATGTATATGTGTATGTATATGTATAAATGCTGGGGAGAGGTATTGGCCAAATTGAATTGTTATACATATCTGTATCTATATATACACATACACCTATCTGTGTACATATGCATACACACACATTTTTTCATGTTTGCAGTGGTTGGGATTGAACCCAGCCTCACGTATGGTAGGCCAGCACTCGACTACTGAGCTACATCCCCAGCGCTGGGTAGAGCTATAAATGATGATACAAATGTACATGATGATGTAGATCTAGAAGT